GTAAACTAAAGAAAATTCTTAGACCACACATTTTATTTATTCGTCTTCCCATTTCTTAATTCATAAATACATTTGTATTGTATGATTTCTTGAGATTAAAACAGGCAAAATTAATGGATATTAGCGTGGATAACAGATATAATTCCCTGATATTAATAATAACCAAAATATATTTCTGTTTTAATTTATTTTAATTACATTTCAAGTATTCGAATTAAATTGAATTAAGGCATTAATTAAACTAATATTATTACAGATAAGGATGAATTATTATTATTATTATTATTATCTTAATAATAAGCTAAACGTCTCTAAATAATTTATATATTTTTAAACATAATTAAACTAACAATATTCTTGAAAATTCGAAAATACTACCAATCCAAATTTTCTGCTTGTTAGATATATTTAAAGGGATATTTGAAGGGATTTAAAGACTCTCTTCGGGTGTAAGCACACTAAAAGGATTTAAGATGAAGGATAAAGGGATTTATACGGTCTTACTAGCTACAGACTCTATGGAAAGTCTACAAATCTCTTTTAAATTCCTTTAATCTTCTTTTTTCTTTTCCTCCCTTCAAATTCCATTACATAAATATAAGAAAATATACTTCTATTTTATTTTTTCTGTGTCCCTTAATTGAAACTAAGATCGTAATCTACGTAACTAAATGATCTCGTTTCGAGCGAAGACAGTCCCTTTACAAGACTTAGGGCGTTTGAAAGAACACACCCTGTCGTAGGGAGGAACTGAAAAAATTCTTGATCTTTATGCCTTTGTTATTATTTCCTGGTTGCTTTATGAATAATTTGATCTCTATTAACTGCACGGTTAACATATTTAAAATAATTTCGTGATTTTTTTTGTTTATTTGCACAACAATAACTCTAAAAAGGACATCACTCTAACATTGAAAATGATTCCTTTTCTTCCTCTCTCTCTCTCTCTCTTCAAGAATAATGGATGCTATTATATTCTACAATGCATTAAAGAATATAATAAATGTTATCATTTTTAAATTATAATGATATAATTAATAAATAGAGTATAAAGATATATTTATTTTTTGCTTATCTTTTAGAAT